GGAATGTCTGAATAGTCTGAGTAGACTTGTTTTGGAGCTTGCATTAGAGTTGAACTCTCTCGCCTTGATGGTCTATAGAATCAAGATGACTGTGTGCAGATAAGATTTTAAATACTGTTCCTAAGGTGCATGAAACCTTAGAAGGAAGCCGCAGGATGCCATCCTGACTACAAGGGAAGTAGTATGGTAGGAACACATGTGGATCCAGGAAGAAAGCAGTTGTTCATGACTTGAGGTTGAAACCAAGACTTTTCATTAGCTGAGTTATACATTGGAATCTCGGTGGAAAGTAATTGATTCCTCATCCTACAAAGGATGTTGAATTCAAATTTGAAAGTTCCTAGATTCTAAACTCTAGGTTGAAAAAATCTATTCTTTTTCCTAGGAGAGAGGGACACTGGCAAAGTCAGTGGAGATGTCATTGGCTGTATTTCCCTATGATCTCATTTAAAGAGACTAAAATTTCTCAAAGACATTTTCGTTATGGGGATCTGATGTGGGATGGCATATTCAGCAATCGGAAGTTTGAGGGCTCAAATGGTATAAAGAGAAAAACTGACATTGTGAGTGGATGACGATGGGGGATTGATAGAAAGTGGGAAGAATGATCATCATTAGGCAAAAATAAAAAATAAAAAAATGAATTGAAGGGGTCTCTGGCCTACATCTTGGGCAGAAGCTGTGTACTATCTGAGGTCATCACAGGCTCTGAAGGTCATAAGCCATCTACTTTGAAAATCAGCTGCTTCCAGAGAGTCTCAGAGAATCCTTAGTTTGATGTTCTCTATTAGAGTAGGTTCTAATTTTTGTTGATTCAGATCACTTCTTTAGTTGTGAAATGGGATTTACCCCAGGGAGTTTTACTTCACTGTTGTTAACAATATTTCCACTGGGGTTCAAAAACAGTTCTTTTCCTTATGTATCCTGTAATAGAAGAAATCTTTTGGTTGGATATCAAGAAGAGCTTGTTAAGATGTTTTGGGAATATAACCTTAACATGTTGGCAGTAGGAATGGGTATAATGCATGAGCCTTTTTCACTATGTTGCCGTGGTCACGTATACAGGGAAGAGTATAGTAATGTAGCTAAAAATTGAAATGCATAGCTCCTTGGTTACCAATTCACAAGGAAATAAACAAGAGTCCCAAAGAGTGTAGACCATACTGATATGAGGGCAAATAGGAGTGCCTTTGACTAAGGAAGCTCAAGCATTTCTAAAAGTTTTATTAATTTTTATTTCAAAGATATCATTGATTCTTTCCACTTTTCCAGAAAAATGTAGGTGGTAAGGGCAGTATGGTTTCTGAGTATGAGAGCATGTTCTTTGATACTTCTTGTGAAAGTTTGTATTGGCCTCTTGATGTAAAGTTTGTATTCCCAAGCCTGGAAATATAAAATCAGTCAATTATTTAGATACTGTAAAAGACTACAGCTTTTGGGCAAGGAGATATTTCAACCATCCTGATAACAGACATATAATAATTAAATATATCAAATTCCATCCTTTGAAGAATGAGAGCTGTATAAATTCACTGGATGGTGTTCAAAGGGGCCTTGAAACTTTGGTTCCTGATCATATTCCACCTTGACAGTAATTTAGGAATGATGCTGTTAATGAGTGACACATGATTCAAAATGACCTCGCCTTTCTTTTTAAAGTTTCTCTAGTCATGTTGACATAAGGATGTAAACAATTTATTTGTACCATGATAAGTAATTTCCTGGAGAAATTTGCCTAGCATGCACTTGAAACCATCCGGTGCCACCAAGACCCGCAGAGATTATCTGAGTGAGGCTAGAACCATCGTGTGTCTATCTAGTTTTTCTTTCTTCTTTTCTTCCTTTCTCTGTCTCCCTCCCTGTCTCCCTCCCTCTCTTTCTTTCTTCTTTCTTTTTCTACTATTAAAATATTATAATAATACATAATAGTTGGGTTCATTTTGAAAAAAAATCATACATCCAGTGAATTTTATTTTAATCCCCATTCCCCCTACCTATTGCTCCCAAGGTGAAATTTCCTTTGGTGCATTCATATATGCATATAGTGTGATTTTGTTAAATTATTCCATATTTCTTCCCCTTTCCCATCCTCCTTCCCTTCCTCATGTTCTCTTCCTTCTACTCCATTGATCTTCCCTATATATCTATGATAGCTGATCCCTGCCCTCTCACCCATCACCTTCTTTCTTTTACTTTGCTCCAGCTTCCACATATGAGAGAAAATATTCAACCTATGATTTTTCTGAGTCTGGTTTATTTCACTTAGCATGATGTAGAAGCATAGGTTTTTCGTTGTGAATTTGACATACTGTGGTTCTAGCCTCACTCAGTTTTTCATTGTTCTTTCCATAATCATGAATTAAATGTTGGTATTTGATAATATTGTTTTTTAATTCCTCCAGGAATTTATCTTTCAAAAATTGAGATAGGATCATAACTTTAGTGAAGGCTGCTTATTTGGCAAAATGATCTGGTATAACATTTTCTTTAACATCATATTATTTCTTTCTCATGAGTCTCACTCTTTATAATAGTGACCACTTTATAATAGGACTATATCCAAAATTGTTTTATATAAATTGTCTAATTCTAAATGGAGTTTCCAACAGAGTTGAAAAAGCTTTTGCTTCTACAGCATCCCAAAGTTATACTTAAAAAGAAAAAGTAGGCCTTGCATATATTTAGTCTGAGGTCTTTCATCAATCAATAAGCTCAAGCAAGTGCAATAGTTCTGCTATCTGTACTGAATTTACTTCACACGGAGGACTCTATTCTGCAAGTAAACTTAAGTTAGTGATGGTGCAGGGAATTCCCCTCACCACTCTCACCACCCGCTGAAATGAACTGACAATAGGTGAAATCGCAGGAGAAAAAGCACACAGACTTAGTAATGTGCTCACAAACATCACGGGATGGTGATTACCCACTAATCCACTGATATGCAGAAATTTATGTACCTTCTTCATAGGACAGAGAGAAATGAGAATTTGTAGGCAAATCTGAGGGGGTAATAAGTGAGTTTTTAGGAGAGTTGAATGAGCTTAAAGAATATATAAGGGCTGAGACAAATGTCCTCTGAATTCCAGGTACGATGTTTGATTGTCTGTTTCTTTCCTGAGGTTAATCTTTCCTGGATAATGAGATTTTGCAAAAATTGTATTCTCTGCAGGAAGAGGATTTCCATTGGTCAGATAAGGGAACTTCAAGGAAGGCTTCCCCTGAACTTCATTAGAGAGCAGGGATCAAGGATGATCAAGAGACAGAGGGTAGTGGGGGCTAGAGAGATCTTAGGTATGAGATGGTTTCTTCAACTTAGCATGTCAAAATACCACACTTTGGGGTATCATTTTCGGAATCATAATAGAAGCATACTCTACTTAGTAACCTCCAGTTTCAAATGTTAAAGTAATATCCAAGAACAAATAATTTTGTGTCAAGGTTTTCCTTAAGAATCCTTAAAAAAGGGGGAGGGGTGAAGTACAGAAAGTTCTTTAACTGATATAAGAAAATCATGAACTTTCATTTTCATGGAAGGGACAGGAAAGTGGCAAAAACTATGGTATTGCAGTGGTGAACAGTAAGTAAGGAGAGACTCACAGTGTGTCATGAGAGGTTCATTGCTGGCTAGAAAGTGTTCTGTGTTCTAAGGCAGTAGTTGTATCTGTATTGGCCCAGGAATCATGAGATCAGAAAGAGAGCCCATAATGACTCCAGTAAAAGGACCAAGTTTTGAAATGGCAGCTAGGCTGCTAAACAAGGGACTAAGTCTTTGCAACCAGGTCAAGGTGATGAGCTTTTGATGACTTCCCTGAAGCTGAGTTAAAATTCTAAGGGCTTCTCCAGATTGCTTAAGCACAAGAAGACAGAAGAGCTTTTACTTGGGACTGCCTGTTGAGAGGTGCTGTTGATCATCCTGCTTCAGAAGACCTGTACATGTTTCAGTCTGAGTTGTCACCATCTCAGGAAGATTTCACACTCTTAATTTTGCAATATCCAGTTAAACCTAGAAATCCTCTGAACTTTTTTATGAGGGGTCCTAGGATGTTTTATACCCTTTATTTTATCACAAGAGAATGTTTTGCCTTCTCATGTAGATTATGCCATTAGCAATGAATTACATTTTGGCAAAATATAATTGATCCTTTGAAACTTTATGTCTTTTCTTTACAAAGGCTAAAAGCAAGTTAATGAAATCCTTTTTGTAAGCTTGTATGTTCTTGGAACAAAGAAGTAGATTATGTACATATTATATGGGAATTGAACCACAAAAGAATTTTAAATCATTTGAGTCTTGATTGAGGACCTGGGGAAAATGGAAGGAGCTTCAGGGACCCTCTGGGGCATGACTATCCAGGTATCTCTGACTGTCCTCCCCAGGAACAGAGAAAAAATTGACAGCAAAATAATTAGACAGTTTCAGGTAAATCCTGATTGGAGGTCTTTGGATGGAGAAGCTGGAAGCAGGCTAATTGGAAATGGAAGAATTATGTAATTGGTTTTAAAGTATATTTGGCTTTTTCTCTTTGATTGTATTGGAAAAAAAGACAAAACAAAACAAAAACAAACAAACAAAAACCCCTCCAAAAAAACAAGACAGCCAGCAGTATTCCAGCAAGTCCTGGCCATTGGGGGGCATATTGCTGGAGAGGTTCTGGTTGGGCTCCCCTGGATAAAATTCCTAGGGAGGCTGTGGATCTGCATTCTATTTCTTGTAGGTTCTACCCATTGTCTGTTTGCATTTTCTGTCTCTCACCTTTTTGAGTCTCAGAAATCTTCTCAAATAGTTTGTCTCCTCCAACGACATCTAGAAATGATCTGAAAAATAATTGAAATGTGAAGTTAGAGTTTTGCAAAGGGGTTATATAAAATAATGTATTGCTTAACAAACTATTGGCTTCTGCCTACAGTTATCTACCTGAGGACAAAAAAAAAAATCCTCTTTAATTCTACTAGACTTATTTTTTTTTTTTCTTTCTCTGTGATTGTTTGTGTTTTTGCAGAGGATCTTGATGATTTAAGAATGGAGGGAGTAACAACCCTGGTACATTCTGGGAGCAAATTTAACCAAGGCCGACCTACTCATCCTGCTGAGCCCCAGGCCAAGGTCACACTGAATATCTGTTCAAGGTGTGCCAGGTAAAACACACAATAGGTATAGCATACATAAACTTGATCTTTAAAAATCCAAGATTTTGGTGCAAAGAGTGTGCTCCTCAGTGTTCTGAAAACTTTTCCTTCTAATTATCTTTTGTGCTAACATTGGCAAGGAAGTTAAGTTTATGCAGTTTATCCTTGTGCCCAATGCCACTCAGACCAACAATGAATCAAAGAGTTTAAATTGTCTTCCCTTCACAGCTTGAGACTATTTTAAGTCTCTCTGTCTCTGAATTTCATTTGCTGTCTGCCCTTCTGTTCCTTTTCAAAGGAAGATTCAAGGGGCTCTGAATGTTCAAAGCCACTTTTTAAAGCACCTGCATAAAGAAAGAGTTTGCCCAGGTACAATTTAAGATCTGATATTAATGGCCTTTTAACCTGCCCCTCATCCTGTTCACCTCCTGGAAAGAATTTAATCAGCTTGATGCTTTTCAGTTTGGGCAGCTGGAAGCAATCTTTGCATATACTGTATGTGGCCAAAGAAGTAGCTTCTGGTTACTGCCAAGTCAGCTCCCAGTGCTGGTGTAGCAGAAACTCACCAAATAGCTTGAATTCATTCTTTTGTAGGGACTAAATCTCATTTGCAAAGAGGCTTTTAAGTCTGTTTAAATGATAAAACAAGCCTTCTAACCCTTATGTAAATGGTTCAGATTAGCAAGAACAATGTGCTGGCTGGCCAATTTTATCTCCTTTTCTTTATGTCTAGCTGTTCTATTGTACTTTTTTGAGAGGGGATTAGCTGCTTGGAAATTGGGAGGGGGAAAGTATAGGGAAATCATCTCCGGATTTTTGTAGCTTTTCCTCTTTTGCTTTACCCTTTTGGAATTTTTATTTTAATTGTCATTAGCTTAGAAAAATAAAAAGGAGAGCTCTTAGAAAACCAGGGAATGTTGTTTGTGGCCATTAAAAAAGTGCAATAGCATATAGTGAAAACACCACAGGGAACTTTGCTGCAGATTAGGAATATTTAGAAAAATGACTTTTTGAAAAAAAAAATAAAGCTGTGAAGAAAACATGTAATATTTATGTGATAATATTTATGTGATAATATTTAAAGCATTCTGAGTGTACAAGGTTATCTATGGAATTCATTGGCATTTTGTTTTAAACTTTATAGTGTATTTGCACATTTGTCATTTGATTGGAGGGGGGATGATACTTGGTCCTTCCTATAACTAACAGAAGATTAGGGCATGGGGTGTTTGCTTTTCCAGAAGGGAATATTTATAGAAAGAATTTTTTTTTTATGAATCCATTGAGGATTTGAACCAGGAAAAGACCAAACACACCTTTAACCCTAAATTATCATTCAGCTTCCCAATAATAGAATGAAGATTGTAAATCACAACCAACCTGCATTTAAGGTGAGTGTTTAGCTGAATTTATTCAAGAAATGTTCATCTAAATAATAATTAGTTATAGATACTGTATTCTCACTATATATTACATACTAGTCTAAGTTTTCTAAAAATTAATTTCTATTGTCCCCCTTTTATAGATAAGAAAAATAAAACATTAGTTGGTTACACAGCTTGTCCAAAGTAACACAACTAGTAAGTAGTAAAACGGTTTCGAAGCCAGGCTGTATAGGTCCACAGGCTGCCTCTAACTCCTTTGTTTTGTCGTCAAGCATCAACTTTTGTCTGAAGTTGAAGACAGAAATTCGAAACAGATAAAAACAATAAGATTCAGGTGTTTGAAATGATGGGCATTCAAGATATTGTTTTGTTGGAAAATAAGGCAAAGTCCTTTCAAAAGGAGAAGAAAATATATTGATCCAGAGCAAAGTGGGAAACAGTATGGAAGAAGAGTCTATGCTGTTCATTTTATATGGGCTACTGTTGACAGAGCTTAGAGTAAAAGAAAAACTCATATTGATTGTGAAAAACTATGAAGAATCTGAGATGTTAATATATTTGCAATCTGGTAGCCTGCTGCTGTGTTTTGCATGTGAGTGGAAGACATGAAATTTCTGGGACAGAGACCAGGGGCTTTTTATTCATAAAATTATTATTATTATTATTATTATTATTAGCATAATCACTGGTTTCCTGAGCTGAATTTCTTACAGAGTGACACAAATGGTGTTGTAGATTGCATTACGTGAGAGGAACCTTGAGTTAGGAAACCTGAATATTTTGCAATAGGCATAGTATGTTGGGCTGTCCCTCCAATGGAACCTCCATAGCTATCTTCAAAGGTTGTTAGCTATACAAACATCCTTGAACAAATTAAACAAAGACTTTTAATATCTCTAAACATGAAAGACTAAGAAGAATTATTTCCCAGTACTACTTAGGGTGGATCACTTTTGTAATGCATTAATGTCATTATCAATACTTTCCATCTTTAATTCATCCTCATCAATTTATGTCAAAAAAAATCGCTTCACCTTAACTATTGAAGTTGTAAGCAAGGAATTTAAGACGGCCATATACATCTTAAGCCAGGATAAGGATTATCAGAAGCAGAAGTCATAAACTAGAGGACTGTGGTATTGTCCGATAGTTTTGTGTATCCACATAATATTTTAAAGTGTCACTGAATATGTGACTATCTTAGTCCATTTGGGCTCTTATCACAAAAAAATTCATAATTGGGTGGATTATAAATGACAGACATTTATGTTTCACAGCTTGGAGGCTAAGGAGTCTAAGATTCAGGCACTGAGAGTGTCATCATGCTGCAGGGTCACAGAGTGCTGGGGATGGAACCCAGAGTCTCACACAGGCAAAACATGAAGTGCTTTACCACTGAACTACACCTCCCCCAACCCCTAAGGTCTCTTTTATAAAAGCACTAATCCCATTCATGGGGTCTTTACCCTCCTGACCTAAAGAACTTCCCTAGTTCTTCACTTCAGGGGTTATGTTTCAACCCTGAACTTTAGAGGCACACAAACATTCAGAACATAACAATTATTTACTAATTTCACATAAAAAAATTGGGATTTCTATCTTTTCTTAAAAATCAGTAGAGCTGATAATACTGGGACCATTTTCTGAAATGATTTCACAGAAGCAGTTGTCCCTTCTAGACCCTGAGGCCAGCAGTCATACTCCACTGTATCTGAGTTTGTCTGTCCAAGTTTATTTATTTATACGACTTCTATGAATTCTGGAGGGCATCATTTGTAATCTCTAATTTGTAGAAATGCTGTGTGGGAGAGGAAAGACTTTCCCTCCATCATCTGAAGGTTCAATATTTAAGTCTATGGAATAAACTGACAACAGGCAGATGAATGAGAGAAAAGCTATACAAATTAATTATCTGCATCACAGGAAAGAAAAGACCCCAAACTCAGTGAGAATTAGGAACCTAAATTTAAGTAGGGGAGAGGAGAAAAGGGGTGTAAAAAACTTAGGGGAGAGGAAGTGATTTTTTTTAGGAAAGAAAAATAGATAATTGTTTGTGATAAGGTTTGTCTGCATGTGATTCCTTCTAATGAACTTCTGGAGAGTTTGCAGTATAATTTCTAATGATAAAACTCCCATTTGAGTTCCTTTTGGAGGTTCTGTTTTTAGACAGTTATGAGGAGTGCAGAGAAAGCCTTTCATTGCATTTGCTATTTTTCAAATGCTTTTATCTCAAAGTAATCAATATCCACAAATAGCACATTATTTTTTTTGGGGGGGGGTGGTAATGATCTGGTTTTCTTCAGCTGGATTGGCAAAGATACACAGTGAAGAATCAGAAGTGGAAGACAGCAGCTCAAGGAACCTGCCCAGGCCATTGTAAGAAGGATCCCATACCAAGAGGGGAGGAAGGCAAGATCTCAATGTTTCAGGGTGCCAGGTTTGGCAAGGGTTTAAGGTAAAAAGGCTGCAAAGACCAGGTAATCTCTCAGAATTCAGGTAGCAAGTAAGTTGAGTCTGGTGATATGGACCAGACCCACATGGAGAAAAATGACTTTCATTTGGAGCCCAGTACCTATTCCCATTGTTCACATTGTGTGCACCAGTACCCAGCAGGGAAGAGACATGGGATCTAAATCTCACTGTTTTGGAGACAGTGTGGTACTGAGGACAAGAAAGTTTGGGATAACTAATGCTAAATGATATGACTTTATTTACCAATACCTTTCAAGATTTTACAGCCAAAGTAGCCTGGAAAGACAACCTGTGAAAGGGGGTTTAATGTCCATAGACCAAATTACATAGTGTGTCTATCATGGGAAAAATTATTCAGATATTGAGAAAAGCTGGTTCCTTATCTATGAAATGGAGTTAATATATAATGACTTCCAAGGGTGACTTGGAAGGCAGAGCACAAAACTCTATGCAGAGGCAGCCAATAAAGTACTCAAGGCCAGGGGTCTCCAGGGACAGGGTTTCCTGGTTTGCCCAATCCACCCTCTCCCTGCCTATCTTTTTGATAGACTCACATTAAAATGTTAAGATATTGGGAAAAAAAAAAGTGACATCAAACCACAGTGAGATGTCACCTCATACCTGTTAGAATGGCTATGATCAAAAAGATGACAATAAATGCTGGCAAGAGTGGAGAAAAGATTAAATACAACCATTATGGAAAAAGCATGGAGGATCCTCAGAAAATTAAAAATAGAAATACCTTATGTTCAAGCAATTCTGAACATATATTCAAGGGAACTGATATCATTATCCTGGAGAGATATCTGCATGGAGCTCTTCCATTCAGAACCGGATTGGATGATGATCAGTAATGAGGCTGATAGATTATACTGCTATTGATCAAGGGGTTGGAGTCCTACATAACTACTGGAGGTAATTTTACTTTTTAAGACATCAGGAAGAGAAGCATTCAGCCCACACTTAATTTCTCTCTAAGTATTATGTACAACAAAGTGATTAAAAGATCAAGTGTGCAAAAGTTTGTGGATTTGCAGAGTTACAAGAAATAAAAAGATTGCAGGTTATTTTTTTTCTATAAATATTTCACACATGGTTGGAAAAGTACAAATGAAAGATAGTATGTGTTTTCAGGCTAGACATTATGCAGAG